TAAAAGAAAGAACCAATATAAAAATAATGAGAGACCTGGGTGAAAGCTGGCCAAATGGTTTACAATGTACATGATATATTACAATAGTATCCCCAAGTGATTTTTTCTATGAAGTGAACATTAATTTATTTCTCAGTTCCTAGTGAAGAGATAAAAAAAAAGTTTGGGATATGCAGCAGGAGCTCACATTAGTGATAAGAAAAACAGACATGCTAAAACTCCATATTCAGATCTTCTCCAAATGAAATTGAGCAGAACTGTAATGATTAATCACTTAATCCAGTGTATGACACTTTTCCTAAATTATATTTGTTGATAATAATCTTGTGAGTCAAAGTTTAACAAAGATGACTTATACAATTCTAAGATTGTCTCTAGTGGTTCTGGATAATGATCAACATACAAAGTATTGCAATCAGATTTTTGCACAGTAAGTGCCTTGAAGTCAATAAAATATGTGTGAAGAAAGTCTATTATCATATTAAAAAAGATGTATTGAGTACCACTTATTTCAGCTTGTGGAATACAAAGGTGTGAAATAGCCTTAAGCCCAAGGGGCCAGAAGTGAATAGTTCATTCATTATGGATAACCACTGCCTGAGGTGGTTTGGTAAGTCCATGGCCCTGACCACTTAAAAAAGGTCAGACGTGGAAGGATGGTTGTGGGTGGGTGTGCTCTAAGAGAAATTTAAATGTTCTGGTCTAGGATAGCTTAGGGAAGAGGTTTATTCAACAAAGGCTGTTACTAATTTGAACAAGGTACTTTGCCATTAAAATTTTTCATTATTTGTAAGTAGTAAGATAGGTTCGTGATTAAGATGATGGCAGATCAATTTTCCACAGGAAACCCCCATTATAATTACTGCATGGCTAAAATACTTTCCATAAACCTACAAAGTTGCTATACAAGCTGTAAGCGTGTATGAAAAACGAGAGTTTTTGGTTTCACTGGGAAAGATTCTAGTGTATCACAACACACACGCAAGAAAAAAATGACAGACATTAGCAGATTAGAGGTTGACCAGGTCCTGAGTTTGTGAATGTGTTTCTTTGTGATTGTGACATGATGTGACTTGAGGTCATTGTGGTAGAGAAGAGATAGGGGGCTGTTCAACAAAACTGGACATTAAAAAAAGAGAAGCCCTTAAACCTGATGCCTGATAGCAACCATGAACTAACTACCTTGTATTTGTGTTAAGTAGTCTGCATAATGAGAAGGGTGATTAATGAATTTCAATTGGCACTCATACATCACTTAGACATTTAATTGCAATCAAAATGTGTTCTTGCTTGCCATGCCCCAAAATCAGTTTTAGTTGATATGGAGCTTAATGTCCTCATAGTGGTAAATGTTGTTATAAATAACATGATAAGAAATGTGCAGAAATTCTGGCACAGTGATGTTGGCACTTACATTCCACTGCATCCAAAATGCAGTGTTGGTGATTTTGTCATCATGATTGTGCCCTGTTGTGTTCAGAGTTAAGATAATTGCGTTAGAGAAGATTGTGTAATGGGAGGAGAAATCTGACAAAGTTGCTCAGTTTAAACACGAGAGACTGAGCAGGCCTGCTTGTGGGATGTTCTGCCAAATTAACTTTCAGTTGTGAATGTAAACAGACCAGGTTCTTGAATTTGTAGTGTAGTAAATGCAATAAGGATCACTGTGGATTACCTGTATAGATTTCATGGTGCGGTTTCTCTTACCTTTTTAAACTCGCCCATGCTTTCCGTACTTTCTGCACTAAAGTCCACTGGATCCTCCTGATGTCTTAGCAACTTCAGCTGCAGACTAAGAGAAGGAGATATCTGTAAATAATTCAAGGCTTAGTTTAAGGCAGTGATAAGGGCAAGTTATTCTCTAGTTATCTGTTGAAGTAACTTGAACAATGTGATCCCAACCATTTTACAAGGAGGTGAGTAAAATCAGATACTGTCTGGAATTATTCCAGTATATATGTGTTTTGCATATGAAGTGATTTGGAATAGTTCTGGATGAAAGAGTTTTGGCAATATTTTGTTATTGTCTTGGATATTGTTAATATAAAATAAATGCTTTCTGTGCAGATATGTCTTCGTAGATTGGGAGGAAATACATCAATGGGAATCTTTATTTTCATTTGATATTTTATCACTCGCTTCCCACATTTTTCATTTCCTCATTTAAGTGCAAAAATTGTCCACGTCTGGCCTTGTTACATAAAATGCCCCCTTTCTAATTCTAATCTTTCCTGTCATCTGACAGCAACATTTCCCCTTCTGGTCTAGAGATTTCATCTAGATCTCCATAAACATTCTTCCTGACTGGTATAATTGGCATTGATTCTTGTCATTTTATTGAAGCCAGATTCTAGTCTCTGATGAATCAGTATGTCAGAAAACCCTTGAAATTTATTTCAAAGGGAAATCTATAAAATCACAATTTTCCTCCACAATTTTTTCAGTTAGTTGATGGTCATGAGGAATTTGGGGAAATTTCACATTTTTTGAACATTTGTTTCAGGGGACTTATAATGGAAAGGCCATTACAAATTCAAGGTTCTGAAATATTTATTGTAGAGGAATATTGCCTAAATCAAATGTTCCCTGCACAGAGAGTTTGGTTATTACTATTGATTGACCAAAGGTAACAATTATTTCCAACAGAAAAACAATTGGATAATTGTGAAAGATATTTAATGGCTCTGGGAAAGGGGTGTGGCGGCATCACTGAAGATGAAATAATTTCAGTGTAATTTTGCCTTGTAATATATTTAATATCTCAAGTGAATTCAGTAGGATTGTTTGGTACTAGGATCCAACTTACCTTGTAATTATGTTGAATCCAAGTTTTGTAGAAGTAGAACCCTTGACATTTGTATATAGTATTTATGCATTGATTCTTGCCATAAACCCACTGTGTTTGTTGAAATGTATGTTTTTGGATAACCTGTGAAAGTTTGTTTTTGCCATGCATGTTTGAAAGAAAGAGAGAGGATTGAAGTAGAGTATGATATAATTCCAGATTCCTTTTAATTGCAGTTGCCAGCGAGTCAGCAGGAAGGGTTTATTCTGGCAGGTGCTTGCTTTTATAGACATTTTGAAAAATATACAGTGTGGAAAGTTTGTCACTACTGGGAGGATTAATAAGTCTAAGGCAATTAGCAGCAGATGTTTCTGATGTGATCAGATAATTTGCTTATCATTTTGTACTGGATCCCTGCTGCTTAGTTTGTGGTGCTTGTTGTAAACAGATTTGGTCGTGTTTTTCCTATTTTTGCCCCAAATCTTTAAGCCCCTTCGGGGAGATGCTGGAACATTTGAAAATGTCAGTCAAAATGAAGTGGAAACAGTTAAGAGTGTTTGACCAGGTGCTCAAAATTATCACTATAGAATCTAAGAACAAGTTGCATCATGGAAGAAGTAATTTTATCCTTTATGTAATGGAAAACTGTTTCAAAGATATTAAATTTTAACATACTCACAGTTTGACAAATGATATTGATTTTCAACAAAAAATTTGTGGTGCATAAAAACTTCTTATTCATTTATTATCATTTTGTATTTCAAGGGGGGAGGGGGGATTGCAACTCGCAGAGTTGACAGAGAAGATGGGTCTGCAGTTTATCTCACAGCATGTTGTAAAGAAAAGGGATTGACTACAGCTGGTGCAAGAAACCAATGTATACATTCTGCTGTAGTAGAGTCACAAAAAAGATCACAAGTTTCTGCATATAGAAGTTTTGGAAATGTCAGTTTCTGTGAGAGTCGTTGTGCAGTAGCAAAGTTTGTATACACAGAAGGGAGAAGGGCAGATTTAGATAAACATGTTCTGCTTGGATAACATTTTGTAAAAGCAGGAAATCTTGCAGATAAGAGTTGGCTGTTTGCATGATACAATGACTGCACTCAGTGAACTTGAATTGAAAAGTAATCCCACTGTGATGCTTTTTTTCGTCCATGAGAGGTTATCTGTTATTGTCATAAGATGGGCAAGTGCTAAATGTTTGTTTAACAAGTTTTCTATGAATCTTTGATAAAACATTATCTGTACTCTTCTTTCTGACTGGTAAAAGTTCTCACATGGCATAGTTGAATTAAGAGACCCCAAAATATTTTGTTTTCTGTCTATGATGAAGAAACATTTGTGTTCTCATGGGTGGTCAGAACATTGAAACCTGATTCACCAATTCATGAAAAACATCCAAGTACTCAAATTTGATTTTTGTAGTCAAAACCAGCTTATTATCTAGCTGTGTATGAATCGCATTTGCTGAATTTGAATATTCCTCTCTCAGTACAAAATGCCTTCCCAATCTCTCTTATGGATATCGCCTAGTCAGAATTTTAATAATCTCAAACACTGCCTCCTGATTGTGTGAGGTACTGCCAGTCGAAGTTTATCTGATATATTCAGCTCCAAATCACTTTTTCAGCATTTTGGTGGTGGTGGTGTAAAGAACAAGGCAGTTTATATTTTCTTCTCAGATTTTTTAGGAATTCTGCTGTCAAAGATTTTTGGGAAAAAAAGAAAGAAAGAAAGAACACTGCCTCATAAACAACTATGAATGTCCTCTATAACCTCTCAACCCTCTCAGACAGCTGATGTCCAGCTGAACGAGACTAAATTTCTCAAATGGTATGTGGAATGTGAAACTGTCTGATCAGACAGGCTGTAGTTGGGTAGTTAGATAGAAAATCACACCTAGGATCTTCATGTCTGTCCAGACATGGCCTGGTAAGACTTTATATCACCCAATATTGTGTTGTCAAGTAAACTGATTGGATATCCCAACTGCCCATAAGGTTAACTAATAAATTCAAATTGGAACAATTCTTGGGTGTAAAATATTCTTGACTCAACACACCTGACAGACCTGAATTGTTTCAAATTGTTGGACAGACTCTAGTTAGGCAGGAATTCACACCTTGACCGCTAAATGTGACCCCTGACCTCCACCATATGCCAGTAATTATCTGAAATGAAAACCATGTGGGGGCTCTCAGTGAAAGTTGTAGTAGTGGTAACTCAGGATATACACTCATTACTGACCAGCGAAGGAACTGACCAGTAGAGATTTTATCAGAAAAAAAAACTGACTGAAGCCATTCATGGAAGACATTTATGTGCACTTTTAATTTCCGAAATTTATACAGAAAATAACCGTGGATGGGGAGAAGTTACAGTATTAGCCAATCAGGATTGGCACTGGATGGATTTCACTGATTGGCGGGCCTAAAGAACTGTGTGTAGTGGTATTAGCCTTTTGCAAGTGAGAGTTAAACATATTAACTTATGACTTGGGGAAATTATGGCATCGTGATAATTTGAAAGGTGAGGCTTAAAAAATAGTCAAAAATGTGTTTTGCTTCCTTAAATTTTATTTCTTTTTCAAATTTAAGTGATTACGTGTATAAAGTGGGGTATAATGGTTATCTTGATTGTATTCATGCCTCCAATAAGTGCTGTTGGTAGTTTGTGTTTAGATGCTAAACCATTAGCTTTTTGAAGAAAAAAAAAGCCACTGAGTTCTTGCAGTTGTTTCCAACCATAGAGAACCAGATCCTAAAACTTTGTCATTGTTAATCAGGTATATGGGTCTTGAGATTTAAAACACAGATGGCACCTCTACCCAATATACACACATCATTGCTGAGATGAGCACAGACCACAACTTTTAAGAAATCAATATAATAATAATAATAATAATTATTATTAGTATTATTTGACACCATTATTCATTCAGATATGCAGTCAAAATAGGGAGGTAAATTTGCAGATAAAATGTTTATATAAAGAAATGGCAGCTATTCTATGCCATCTTCCTAAGTTCTTAATTACCGGGGACACTGGAGTCACAATTAATGCTTTACTTCAGTTTTCCCAAGTGTATGCTTCAATTTTTTGTTTGTGTTTAAAGTGTGAGTATTTTCGTCTCTGCCTTTCTTGTGTTTTTAAAGCTTTTAGTTGTAACATTTAGTTAAATGCATTTAAATCCCAAGGGATTTTTTATTACAGTAGCCTGTTCAGCTCTCTCAAATTAGCGGACTTATACACACCACAACTCAGCCTGGTGCATCATCCTACTTGGTAGTGACTGTGGGACCATTCCCAGGCCCTGTCGTACCAACTTTGGATCGATCTATCTCCAAGGGGATTCTCGCTAAATTGCAATCAAGTAAAGCAGCTTAGATGTCTGTCATGCCTACTAAAGCTGCAAGGGGGTAATTAATTATCATTTAGCAGCTTCAATAGGTGTGCCAGACATATAAACTGCTTAAGCTGAAAGCAATTTAATGAGAAACCCCTTGGAAATGAATCGATCCTATGAGATCAATCTAGGTATGGGAACTCAGTCTTTAAGTCCTACCCAGTGTGCACTCACTGTCTTCTTTTCAGGACTAGAAATTGTATCTGTTGTATAGGAGTGATGATTGTAAAGAAGAGTGTCCAGTTGGCACGAAGGCCAAGGTACTCTATAGGTGTACAGGTGTGGAAGACTCACTGGTATATGTGACCATGATGGTCTTCAATCTCAGTTCAATTTCACCAGAAATGAGACACCTTCTCAAGAACACTTTATGTATTCTGGGTACCAAGTGCACTGTTTAACAATTGGAAACTGCTTTCAGATGTTTGTTGCAAGAAGTGGATCTGTGTCATGGCCAGATAACATTGCGTGTCGCTGTATACGTAATCTGATGACAAAAGTAAGGCCAATATCCAATCCAAAATAGCCCTGTCTAAACACGCCTTAACTAGGAACTCAGAATTAAGTCCCAAAACAGGATCAATGCAATGCCTAACAAACCAATATACATGGCACCACAGAGCACTTTAAACTCCCACAAAAAATAAAACCATGGACTGGTTAATGTCCTACCATGTGGACAGGGAAAAAAGGCATGTGGGTGCATTAACAATAAAACTGCCATACTGAATAGTTCGAGCTAACTCCTTGGGAACTCTTGCTGAATGCATTCAGATTACAAGATACCTCCTAGCCTTGAGTAGAATGCAGAAAAGTGATTGGAAACAAGACGAGGATATATAATCTGTCAATTTGATTGTATTCAGCAAGAGTCCCCATATGCATGGAGTTGGGTAGATCTGAGTAGTACGATAGACTAATTGTGAGCACACCTTAAGACAAGTAAAGTCATCTTAGGCTGTATCAGAGTTGCTGATTCAGTTTATGAGTACACTATACCATAATAAAGCTTCTGAAGAGGGCCAGGGGAAGGGGTTTGGTTGGTAGGGGGCATTTTGTAGTTGTTTCCTGTAAAATGTTCAGATCTGCCAGAAATGAATGGCATTGTGTGTTTGTGTGTGTGTGTGTGTGTGTGGGGGGGGGGGTTATAGTTGTTTCCTTTGGAAAAAAATTATTACAATGTGTGAGGGGGTGTTGGTAAAGTGTGTGTGTTAGTTTGTAATAGTTATAGTACATATACTCGAAAAAAAATTCAGAGAAAGTTCCAAGCAAAGTTCAAGGCAGCTGGTAACCAGATACCGCTTAAAAAAACATAAATCTGAACAAATTGTTTTGGAAAATGATGCTTATCCACATCAATTTCAACCTCTGGGCCCAACTCTCTCAGTGTATCCCCTTTTTGCAGGTAAAAACATGCAAAGATAACATTTGAGTATTCAGAACAGGAACTAATTGTGGTTTCAGAAACAACTTATCAAGTTTCCAATCCTTTGAGTCTCTGCTCCAGGGCACAGGTCTGTCAAAAGTGAAGTGAAGAGGACAGAACTTTGGCTAATTGTGGTCAAAAATGTGGTTCCATTGGGTAATAGGCCCCCTGACATTGGGCAATTTATTTATTCTGGTTCTTGGTGGTTTTGTATGTAAACAATCAGGAGCACCTATTGGGTTTCTGTCCTATCTCTGTAATAGCCTTGTCTGTTGAGTCTGCCGCCTGGCCACAAACTAGATAGCAGACTTCTCAGTGCAGTTTGCTGCAGTACTGGAAAAACTGATGAATGGAAGATCTGAGTTTAGTACAAGAGGGGAATAGTATTGGCAAATCAGGATGAAGGAGCTGATGGGCAAGTTATGAGTCTATTATAAGGTTATGAATGACAAGTTGTAAGGGGGTTCTTCACTGAATTAAGAGTTTATTAATTTGTGAAATTGGAAGTGTGCTAATGGTTGGCTGGTGAGCTGCAAATAAGTTGGATACAAAAATTAAGTTATTTTTTTAGCACAAGTCATTTATAAGTGAGTTTATGTCCAGGAAACCTACTGTTGTAGCCACTTGCAACCTAGAATAAGATCTCTGGGTGTGTCTCGTATCCAGCAGTGCATGATACTGGATAAAAAAAACAGTTCAGTGAAAGAATCTGAGGCAGAAACACTCCTTGTACTGTAAGGTAGGATAATGATAATCAGCACATTGTATAGAACATTAGTATCTGCTACAGTTTTACAATTTGTCTTTAGTATAGTTCCACAGTTTTGCCCAAATAATAGCTGAAGCATTGTGTATTAAATTCTCAGTTCTTGTTAAAAGATCAAAAATAGCTTCTAACATCGTAGAAAATGGCAATTCATATATTAATAGCAAAATATCATTCTGAAACAATTAAAATCTGAATGCCATTAAGTTAAAAGTAATATGATAAGTTAATGTATGTATGTATTTAAGGTAACAAATTTCAAAAGCTGCATGGTTGTTTAGAGTAATAGTGAGAAAGTTGTGAAACACTGGATGTGGGTAAAGTACGCATCTTTGACATCTTTCATCTTTCAGATCTTTAGATCAAACCAAACTGATACATGCTTCAAAGAGATTTCAATGAGAAAAGATAGCTTTTATCTGTTGAGTAAGGTTATGGGAACTCTACAGTGCTTCATGGTGTTTCATTTAGTATGTTGTGTGATATGATCAGAAAGAAGGCACTTCCGAGCTATTTTCTGGGGCTCACATGCAGTGTAATTGACACCATCACTGTTTTTTCTGCATGAAACAAATAGCTCGGAGCCAGGCAGAGTACAAGAAAATCTAAAAATAAATGTAACGAGTGCTCATTACAGATATTCTTCCTGAATGATATCAGCAACTCATGCATTCCCAACTGGCATATAAAATGCTTAAAAGAATAAAGATTTTATTGCTGAGAGCTGGTTCAACTAGCATTGGCTGTTGAGATCTTCAGAATCATACGATACATTAAATGCACTGAAGGATAACAGAAATAACTGTATGTCAAATGGACAGCCCATTATTCATTTGTTGCATAAATTCATGGTTTATGTATATGTAACCAGGTTGGTAACAGAGATTTGGCAGTATTTAATGTGAAAAATATATATTTGGAAACTCCAATGTACAGTAGAACTTTCAATATTTTGGGGCCCAGATTTTGTTCCTCTCACACACAGGATACAGGTATATATCTTAGCTATGGTGACAAAGAGGGAGGGGCAATTTCTCAGGGGTCTCTCATCTTCTCCTGGGGGGGGGGGGGGGCTCTCTTAGCAATGGAGATTAACCTTCTTTTTAGAGGATTGTGCAGGGTCCAACATGCCACACATCTGTTGCGTGTGTCTTTTAAATATATTAGATCATTATAATATATTTGGCTACACTGTGGCATTGACTATGTGATCAATTTCATTGTGGTAAGCAATTAAGATAAAACTAATTACTATTCCTCTTTGAATATATTTAATACTATTGAAAAATTGAACTCAGCCTCAGAATGTTTAGCAGTCTAATTTTTGATCGTTAGTCTGAAAACATTAGCTAAATAAGATATGACTGACAATGATATTATCTGGTATGTGATAACCTCTAATAATTGTGACATGGTATTATGGTAGAGACCACTTATCTTTGTTGTTACCAAGGCTTTTATGCCAATATTTCATTAAATACCAAAAGTGAAATTATATATATATTTTAGATGGAAGTGCCATGTTCTTGAAGGTCATAAGAAGAACCATAAGAATTTCCTTATTCAGTCAACTCAAAACTGCATTTTATTCCAGAGAAATCTGAGAACTTAATTATGACATCTGATTTATTGCCAACAAATATTACAGGATCTCCATCCCTCACTGGATGTTGGGACATGCATATGTTAATTATGAATTTCTGCATGTGAGTTTCTCAGCAATTGCATGCCTCTGCCTCCCAATTCCTGTCATAAATATGCAGGAGTAATGGGCAAATCCAGGTTCTTATGTAACATGGCACCATATAGAAAATGGACATGACAGCTGAATATGATGTTGGAATTCTCTCGATGGGAACTTCAGCTCTCAGTTCAGTTATCAGTCATGTTAACAGTTCAGTTATCAGTTATGTTAATGGTGAGTGAGGGTGCAGGGTGGTATTGCCATTGCTTTCCTGAAGAACTTGGCCAGAACAGAACAGTTTTGTACAAATGGTTCTATAACATTAACTTCAAGAAGGACACACTTAGTTGGAATACCCTTGCTCAGCTGTATTGTCATTGCTTTCCTTAAGGCTAAAACCAAGGCAGTTCAGTTTTGCAAAAAGATCTGCTTGATTGCAACTTACTTTGGAATCCCTCTCTGCTCACTGATGGATTACCTTCAGGATTACAGAGCAGAAAGTTGCAATAAAGATTTTTTCTCCTGCATTTTGTTCTTAAGAAACTGACTACAACTTCACAGAGTTCAGGAGGTGGTCTAGTTTAAGGCTTCTCTACTGGTTTTATGGGATATTTACCTCCAAAACAGTTCAAAAGAGGACATTATTTATGACTTAAGATCATTTCATTGGTCACATCAAGTAAGTTTTAGTGCTAACAGATTGAAATGATAAGAGGTAGACCTATTTTTGAAGTATTCATAGGAGGCAACTTTTGATTGTGAATTTTCCCTGTTTTTTCTTGTCCTTTTTCAGATGCATACCAGTTTGGCTTGACTTGCTTTTTTTCTCCAGAGGTACAGAACTTTGGTATAAATTCCATTGCATTTCATTTTCTTTTCTCTGAAAATCTTTTCAGCTTAGTATACCTGTTTGATTTGAATATAAGATTAGTACATTTCTTTCTTTTCCAGCCCAGAAACATTAATCCGTTGCAATGAACTTGTAAAAGACCTATTTCACAGATTCATGTAATCGGTAAGTAGTCCCATCAGAAAGATATTAAATGACTAACATAAAAAATTCCTTACCTGAACAGTTTTATAGGAAAAAGTTAAGTGGCATCTTCAGGAAAAAAAAGGGCTAAATCTCAATCCTTCCTCACATACAATCTAGCTATAATAATCTCACCCTCTCGATTGTTAAATCAGTACTGATATATGGTACTGTCGGGGATATCAAGGGACGGGTGTGTTTGTAGCAGACAGAGACACAGAATTTTAACACTTTGACAGTGCCATTCTTAGTTTTGCAAAAGCTGTAAGAAAATTGGTAGAAGAGAAATATCTAACTTCCTTGTGCTGCAAACACCCCCACCCCCCACCCCCAGTAGCATATTTTCAAACAAGTGAATAGACACCAAATCATGCATGTAATTAAGGATTAAAGGCAAATTAACACGAAGAGTAAACGATGTTACAGTATAATTTTGATATCAATAATTATTATAAGTGGCACCGGTTTTGTAACAAAGTGATCCATCATTGTGATCAATGAGTTAATTCGCCAAAGTGTACTGAGAATTCCCAGTTCTGATCTAATGCTTTTACTACCACACCACAGATACAAAACATGAGCTAAGGTACATGATCTGTTAGGTACCATGGTATCTCCTCTCTACCCATCCATCTGCTGTATATATAAACATGGCATGTAGGATTGCAAAATGTAATTTGTTCCTGGGCTGAGGGATAACAGTCAACACTACGGGAAACCAATTCTTATAGAGACGTTTAGGCTTTTAGAGTCCAGGTAGGGACTGCATCAGAGAGGTTGCATGGGCAGCTTAACGAATTTGTTTGATTGGGTTTTGGAGGAATGAAGACCACAGGATTAGTTGGATTATGTAAGACACGGAAAGTGTTCTCATACTCTTCTATGAAGTTTTGTGTGTATGTGTGCGTGCGTGTATGTTCTTTTTTGTGTGCCAGTCTGTGTTAGTGTTATTTATCAAGGGGTTACATATGGAAAGGTGGTATGACATTTTATGTGATAAGTGAAATTACCAGTGATAAGAGATAAGTATTGATTTGAAATTAGTCTTTAGTGTACAGATTTATCAGCATTTACAGATACAACCTGGATGAAAGTTTGCTTAAAAACTCAAATTTTATATCACTTAAAGTTTGACCGCAAGTCAAGCATGCTCAGTTTCCATTAATAGGCATTTATCCAATTGTTCTGAAACCGTTGAAGGTCTTTTAACAAGCTAAAGACCCCTCTCTCTCGCCCCTCCCCCAAACACAGGCACACTCGGCCTTGGACCAGCCTTTTCTTGTAAGTGATTGTTTGCATGTTTAAACACAATCACTTCTTTTTTCATTTCTGCTTATACTTATTAATGATTTGATGAAGCGCGTACATAATTGCATGGAGACTCTAGGGAGATATCACCCCCTCCTTCTCAACTGTCACCCTTGCCCAGACATTATCCAAGGGGCCTAGTAGACAAGGCTGCTAATCAGTGATTATTATTATTTACTTATTTATGAAGTTTTAGCACAGAAAATTAAAATTTTATATTATAAGGGTCTCTATTCCTAAATGAATGCAAGAGGCAAAAGAAAACATGTATAAACTATAGTTTAAATAATGATATAAAAAAGATCTGCTATACTCATTGTAGACCCTTGCTAGTTATTGAATAGATCACATTCTTGATTTATTACTGCATCGTTTATTTTTCTGAAGTTCTTGCAACAAGAAAAAAATTGCAATTTATCAGATACCAGCACTCAGCAAATAGTGTTCTCTTGTTTTTAAGCTTATATTTATCATTTCCATTTTCTTAATTCTTATTCTAAAAAAAATTATCAGCAAATTGAAACAAATATATAGTAGATGAGGACATCTTTTTGTAATATACTTCATAATAAATGAATGGAAATATTGCTTGATTTTGTTTCATTTAGCTTGATCAATGCATTGTTTTATTTTTCCTGTTTTCAGGAGAGGGGGGGGGGGGATAAGGAGGAGGTACCTGCAAAGTTTAGGGGAGTGAGGGCATGTCCTACTTTGCACCCCCTGAATTCACATTAAGTCCAAAGTTAAGACTGTTACACATTTGTATGATTTTTTTCTAAAAGTATAATTTTGGCTTATTTTGTGCACATTAAGTAGTGCATGGCACTTAGCAGACTGGAACGTAAGGAAGGATGAAGTCCTCTGGGAGACTTGGGTATTGCTTTTGATGGATAATTTAGTATACAGTATAGTACACATTTAAAGTGCACAGAGCACCCCCTACCCCTACCCCACTTCAATCATTATCATGTCTTACAAAGAATGACAACTGTCAAAGTGTGATGAAATCTTCGAAAATTTTTTGTGTAGTTATAGCTTTTATTGTTGAATTTCTGTATTAACACTTAAGTGGTACAATAGAGCGAGATGGAGAATGAAGTCCACTGGGAATGGAGGCAGTTGTTTCAGACATGCAATGTAATCCAGAAGTTCCAGAAGTCGACTGTTTTATTTTTTTCTCCGCGTTATTGGTGCCTGTAAAATACTGGACTGTGCAGTTTAATTGGGTCTTTGGAAACCTAGCACAATTTACCAAATGCCAAATAATCGCTGCCTAATTGAATTGTTAGCATTCTTGATTTGCTTAGCTTGGCACAAGATATTGATGTCTGCTAGGTTTAATGTCATTACCAGTCATATATCCAACAGGGACTCCCTTTATAAAAGTCCTAATTGAATAGGGACATTATTGATAGAGCATACGTCTGTAATGTCTTTTCATTTGGTCACAGGTTAGGGATCAATAGCCAAAATTTCATAATTTTTTCTTATAAAATTTGATTTTCTGCTTAATTTCCAGTATTGCAGGCTCATGTTATGACTCAATACCACAGAAATGTGTAGTATCAATAACTATTTTTGAATAAGAAATTGTATAAGAATATTTTACTTCATGAATAATTTAATTAAAAAAATATCATGTTGTCATTATTGTCCCAGAAAATATAATTTAAAAATTAAAGAGAGATTATTTTCAAAGATTATGTGGAAAATAAAATTTGAAAAATGAAATCAATTTGAAAATAGCAATTTGTTTAAAGGTATAATTTGTCTTCAGTTATTGTTCAAAATTATTGAACAAGCAAATCCAGATGTGGAGAATATGAATTTCAATTGGTTATGAGTATGAATCAATAACATTTATGTCATATTGGGTAGTAAAAGATATCATTTCACCCAGTCCTGCATCTGACTGGCCCTGTGTGAATTTAAGCTGACAGGGAGAGCAGACCACCAGATCAGTTTCATACTACACACTCTCTCATGAATTTGATGCCTCTCTGTTGTATTTTTCAGGCCACATTCTTCCAGCAGAACATGACTTGATTAACAAAACAGAAGGGGGTAAAAAAGCTACTAATGGTTGTGGCAATGATACATAGCAAGAAGACTTTTAAGGGAGTAAAACTGGAGCAGGAAGGCACAACGAATGAAGGAGCAAGCATACTGTTATGTTTTTTCTACTGATTCAGACTGTAAGAACTCATGACAGGGAAGGACTCTAAGACCAAAAAGAAGTATCGTTTAACAAGAGTTGCCCAAAAATGAAACTGGAGGAACATACTAGAAACTAATTCCAATTTTTTTTTTTTTAGAAAGAAGGGCTTTGATTTTAATTTGATTTTGAAAAAAAGCACTACAAGTAAAACTGACAGCATCAGAATAGAGAGATGAGATATTGAACTTCATTTTTGTTGCAGCCATTAAAAAACAATTTCTGGCCTCCAAGGACTTTACTCTAGTTCAGTTGATATATTTCAATAAAAAGGAAGCACACGATAAAACAAAGACCAACCAGGGTAACAGAAACTTGCTCAAGAGCATATCTCAAATATGCAATGGAAATTATAAATTGTGAGAGAAAAATGCACATTCACTGGCTTTGAAAAGTGGCCATTGTTTTCAAAAGGGAGGCCCATTCCTTTGATTGATAGCCCCAAAGGAGGCAGACTTTGAGTTGGGGCGGCAGTTTCTATGCAGGATATCCTCCAAAGGAACTGCACAGTCGGTGTCCCTCTGCTCTGATGGTGTAACTACCACATCCTCTGAGAGTTCACATCTCTTCCATCTCTCAAGTATTAAAGGTGGCATAAAAGGTGCACCAGCAAGTTGATCTTGCAGAGAGTTGTTGGTGATGAATGATGGAGGAAGCCTTGGTGACAGTGAAAGTCAGGCTTCTCATAGATTATAGCACAGTCATTTACTCAGAACATTTCTGAAGGAAAATATTGCTTGGTCAAAGTGGCAAGGGAGGAAAGAAACACACCCACTCTGGAGAATACTGTGAAAGCAAAGAAGGACAGTTTTTTAATGTGAATTGCTCAGGCTTCTTTTAATAAGGATTATCATTTTAGAACAGGAATTGCAACGTTAAACAAATTTCAGAAAGTTCGAAGGATGTAAGTGATCTCTGTTGCGGAAGAGCAAAGAGCTGCAACTGTCAAAACTTCAATACATTTTGTTTTATAAAAATAATTTATGAGTACATAGACCTGTCAAAAAAGGAGAGGGAAAAAAACACCAAGAAAGTATCCTTGCAGGAAATAGGAAGTGTGGTGAATGACAGAGTTGATAGGATGGCAATTTTTTTAAAGAAATAGTTGGGCTTCTTAAGAGTACTAGCAATGTCAACCAAGCCACTTGATTAATGAGGTTGTAACTGGGACAGTGGGAAAACCATTCAACTTGTCACAGGGTGGACTGATGGATCAGGCACACCAACTATGAGCATGAAGTAGCTGTCAACGTTGGTCAGAATTATTTTCTAACAAGAACTACATACTTTATTCTGACACCAGACGGCTGTGTTAATTTAGTTTTGTTAGTCAGAAGAATGGATTGATATTATTTATTGAGGACAAAATGCTGGATGTCACTCCTCGGCTGCTTTATTGTTGAGGTTATGAGGTTTTGCAGAAAGAGTGAAAATAGTCTTTAATGAGGACTGGGTGTTTGATTTGGCTAACTATTTTGTTATCAATGGCTTAGAACATTGTGGAAGATGTTCTTTTACAAGAAGTGCATATTTTAAGTTGGCAAGTCAACATGTAATTGAAAAACCTGCTGCTTATAAGAAGGAATTTATTGGAATACATGGAGAAAAGAACAATGCTTCAATCTTAATTTTTCAAATACATGTTCATATACATGTTCAAATGGACTGTTTTGATTAGTCATTTAGTCTTAGCTTTTTACATTTCCATTGCTGTGCACAGAGCGTTGTTTGGTTTAATTAGTGTCTGACAGAAACTGCAGGTTAGTACTTGGCCATCGCAAATATCATGCTGAAGCAATTCTTTGGGGACATTTTCTGAAAGCACACACAAGACCCGAGCCAAACTGTCTCCTGTTGTCTCAGCATGTTGCGTTGTAGGTGGCGCTTGGGTTCCCAAGCAATGAGGGAGATGTTTGGCGTGATCCTTCTCCTGGCCAGCTTGTCTGTGCTCATCACTTACCAAATCAGCAAAGGACTGCTTCAGAAGACCTCAGATGGGGTACTGGAACTACAGATACAAGTGGATCAGAGGTTTCATGAGTTAAGACGCGTGCTTCATACGTCGCGCCATGGTGAAGGTGGCAGTGCTGGAGCACCTGCTGAGGTAGTGCCCGGAGAAAACGTGACATTTAATTCGGGGACCCTAGGTCGGAGGTTGCGGCTGTATCGGCAAGATGGCATCCAAAGGCAGATCACTCCACTGTACAGGAAACTGAAGAAGGTAAATTAATATGAAGTGCTTCGTAAATAATTTTTTGATGCAATTTAACAAAGTATGCCTATTTTCCACCATTCATTCTCTCTCATTTGATATTTACTGTATTATGCCATGTTGCAACCCACTAAGCTTCAGAGAAAAAAAAACACATTGCTTCCATATTCCTCTGGGTATTATTCAGTTTCATGACTATGAGCGACACCTGAATTTCTAACAGATCTAAATCAGCTGTTATCGCTCCATTGAACTTGGTGACCCTCTAGGGATGGCTGTGAAACTCATCTCAACATCTTGGCCCCTGTTCTTGCCTTGGTAATGGATCTGCTTTGCCCTCCTGTGTTTTGTAAATCAAGGTTTATTTATTCTGCCAGCATCCATTGTCACTTGGGGAACCAAGGTCTGGAGTGGCTGCTTTAGTTATAATTCTATGCACCAACTTGCTGTAGTGTTGAAATCCTAGTGAGAATATCTTGTGTGGTTATGTTGGTGTAATGCATTTGAATTGCTTAGAATACTGTTTTTTATGCAAATTATGTCCAGATATATATAGGCACAATGTATATAAAAGACATTTTTGTTTGTATTACAATGATGCAAAATAGTTCGTTTAATATTTCTGTAATTTTTGAAAATTCAGTGCGTCTTTTATGTCCAGGTATATATAGGCACAATGTATATAAAAGACATTTTTGTTTGTATTACAATGATGCAAAATAGTTCGTTTAATATTTCTGTAATTTTTGAAAGTTCAGTGCGTCTTTTAGTCAATCCGACTGCATTCAGCAAGAGTCCCCGGAGGGTTGGTTCGATCTTCTAAGTACGATATAGTCTCATTAGAACACACCCTTAGTCATGCAATTGAGACTTCCTCAGAATGCAGTATGTCTCTCATCACCAATGCTAATTCTTGTTTTTTGACTTGGCTATAAAATACCTTAAACTGTTTTATTATATAAACAGTACTTGGGTGTCCTGTGAGCTGTGTCAATAGGTTGCAGTAAGATCAGGCAGTGTTTGGTTTGTCCACTTTCAATTGGGACAGTATACGGGGAAATTGTTGTTATTGATTAACATTACACATTCTGAATGACTCAGATTAAAGCGTAATGTAATTCAAATAATAGTAATTCATTATCATATAATAAAACTTATGATGAGAGAAATGATACCGAAACTTATATAATGCACAATCAAATTTAAAGACACTTCTAAACCACAATTTAGCCTTCCTTTTGTCTATTACTACATGTACATTGGTTCTGAATGCTCAGATGAATGACTCCTCTTCATAACTGCAGGTCTTATTTTAAAAAAACTGTTTACATTACTGTTTTTATTTGACTGAGTAATATTTTTACAAATTTTTGAATCATTAAGTGAAATAAATGTACATGCAGAGGGATATTGTTAGCTACTGTGCCATGTACCTTTGTGACAGTTTTCAACTTGAAGTGCCTTTCCTTAATGCTTTTCTCAATAGCACAGTAAAGAAAATTAGCTGTTTACACAATATCATGGTATGGGTTGTAAAAAATGTCCTAGGTCCATTTCATGCTAGATATTAATGGCATGTTTGACAGGGAGAGATCAAGTTTGGTGTAAGGTTAATACATGAGGCAGAAGGGGTCACTGGTCACTGTTCTCTTTTTACATCCAGGGGGTACAGTGTTTTGTTACACTCCAGGTTGAGAGACTGACAAATAGCTAGTAACTGAGATGGACCTCTCTCTCTCTCTCTCTCTCTCTCTCTCTCTCTCTCTCTCTGAGAAACACGCATGCTCACACATACTGTACATATGTGTGTGTGCAATTTGCTGGCTGAACAGTTTTAAAGCAAATTTAAATGTCTCCTATAGATAAGATACCCATTCTCTTGACGAGATGATCTTGTAGTAGAAGCAGTTCTTGCTGTGGACTCATGTGCAGTTTCTGACTAATTCACTTACCATACAAGACATTTTCCTTATTTCATTGTGCTGAATGCATAATCTAATGAGTGAAAGTTTAAGGTGAGAAAAGTTACTTGTAAATTGAACTGAATTTGGGGTGAGTGAACCAACTGATGAGCATTNATATGTACAGACACATCTGTGTCTGTACAACATTAGGCTACATGCTTAGTAAATCTGAAAGGTTTTGACCAAGAGGTAGCAAAGCAATTCTTGTATGTTATATGTTTGCATATTTTCAACATGACTAATTCTCAACTTAAAACAGAAAAATTTTGAAGAAAAAACCTCAGTAATTAAAAAAACTGAATCCAATTATTTTCATATTATCACATATTTTTGCAAGGTTGTTTCATCATTTCATACATTCTAATGTCAAGAGTTATTTTTTAATGATCAAACAAATGCTCAACTTAAGAGATAACATGATCTGCCAACCATTCAAGGATCTTTGGGTGTTACACCAAATCTTTCATTGATTAGGTAACTGTACAACTTCTTCCACATGTTTCTTACACCCATTGATCAAATTTCTCCTCATGGGAATTGGGAACCATCTGATACCTGAATGAGGTTTCCAGTTTGTCTGGGTTAATTAGAGTAAAGATCATCAATGAAGCACATAATTGCTCTTTAGCACTATTTCAAGGACTTTTCTATCCCAGGGGTCTCTCAGGACATCCTAGTTATGTGTTATCTTCTCCAGTTATTTCTTACTGAGATCTGTGCCTCACACATGGGGCTCTCACCAAGTAACCTTAGCATGTCAGATGAAAGCATTTTCGATTGTAATATTGTATCTTATGAATACTTGTTTTACATTTTATAAGTACTGGGGGAAGGGGGGGGGTGAACGAATTACCCTTTTTGCTGGTAAAAAGGTCTGCTCTAGGTAAAATATGAGCGCTTTCAGAACGGATGATCTGTGGACTTACTGGGTTGGCCATATTCAGTTGGCAGATCATCTAGTCTGAATGCACTCTTAGATATAGAATGAAATGAAGAAAATTAAGACTGAATTTCCATCAACTAGAAACTGCTTTGTATGTTTTTCTTCTTGTTTTGTTGTCATTGTGCATTTAAATAAGATTGGACATTGTGTTATCCAATGTTATTGAGTCTGAACCAGCATAAAAAAGTAAATTATTTTTCCGACTGCATCTTGAACTAAACTCTACATGTATCTCTATATAATATCACATAACTTAAGTCCCAATATAGATAAAGGTGAGATGGGATGATAAATCCCTGCTCTATTCTTGTTACCTATGAATTAAACACACGTACGTGGGATGTAAATCAAGGTGTGACTATCCCTTTAAGTGCAGTAAAGGTGTATGCAGGTGAGAATGAGATGTGACATTAAATCCCTGTACACACCTGAAAGTGTAGTGATCCTGGGGTGATACACCTGACCTGATCACCAGGATACCTGTGCAGAATAAAGTGGAGATAGGCCCAAATTTCTCTAAGGTTCAGCTGGTGAAGCTAGGCTCACTACACCAGAGGCAGAGAATGCATTACATAATTGGTGTTGACTGGAAATTACAACATTTCTGTTATTACCAAAATACACCATACATACACCATGTATAAAATTGTTGGCAGAATTACAATCAATATTTATAAACCCACTTAAAAATTGTTATTTGAAGGTCTGAGATAAAATCAGAATGGCAAATTTGTATTGTTAACTGGTACACCAGTGCTTTCACAAGACTAGTAGGTTTATTTGTTTAATTCACAGCCCTTTGTCTTTCTTCAACAATGACAAATGCATCAATTGCAATTTTCAAGTGTTTCCAACTTAGAAAAATATTAACAACTGCAATTAATGTTGATGAGGTACTCATTTGTCTCTCAGTCATTACATTACAAAAAGGACGCCAGTTTTAAATTGACCAGCGTCCCACGAGATATCACAGTCTTGATGGATAATGATGAGTTAGTAATTGCCTAAGGACACCATTCCTCTAGTTTTTCCCCTACGTGTAATTGTTGATTGATAAGGGCAGTAGGAAAACTGGTCACTAGTTGCAGAACATCCAGTGAGGGGTCACTGCACTAGGGTATTGGTTGACCTCAGCTGTCCTAGCTAGCTCTTATTTGGTAAGTGACCTTTTCCAAAACATCCCAGTTCTCCAAATTGTTGGAATTTCAGCTTATGTCTATTGCATGCAGGGTGAGAAAACTATCACAGTTCGGCCCCATTCAGTCTATTGCCTTCAACTCAGTTTATTCAAGATTCTTTTTGAAAGAAATTTTGACTTTTGCTGGTGTACTTTGATTAACAAGCATTCACTTATGTGGAAGGTACCGATGCAGAGATCTGTAATATAGACCAGCCATATCAACTGTGTCATATACATTGTGTACTATGAATGTGTAAGTAAAATTAAATGACCTAAAATGAATTTGGTTCTCATCCAGTCTTAGATTAAAACCACCCAATATAAAGATGGATTCACTTTCCCTTCATTAATTCAAACACAGGGCCAAGAATGTTCTTCATCTTCTGTTCCCTGAAACAGAAAAGATAGTAGGTGATTAGACTGGGCTCATGGTCTTTATCATGCTAGCTGAAAAAAACACCTGGAAATAAAAAAGAGCAGATGGTGTTCTTCATTCAGTAATCTGTAAGAGTGACCACACCTTTAATGGCAAGCCTCCTTCACAAATTGAAGGTACCCCTCCTAAAATGTGATATTTACAACTGCTCTCTGCCATACAGTTCTTCATTCATTGAAATGAAAAGATATATGCCATTTATTTCATGCATGTTTTTATACACTTTTGAATAAACACTTTTATTTATATTCACTATTTTGCACTGCTTGATCAAAAGCTAGCATGTTCTCTTTAATTGTCAGGATTTAGTTTTTCTTTGAAATTAAAAAAAAACAAAAACAAAGTCGAAGATGTCCACACCGTACGAGTTACATTAAAGCATCAGTATCAAAAGTCCAGGAATTGACTGCAATTTTGCCGCAAAATAAAATTGTTTAAAGAATATCAAAAGAGAAATCCGGAAGAGCAATTTCCAGATGACTGACT